GTGCAGGTGTCTGTGTGCACATTTGGAGACCAAGTAAGGGTGTGTGTGTGTGTGTGTGTGTGTGTGTGTTCATATGTATGTATGTATGTATGTATGTGTGGGAGAGGTATGTACAAGCATCTGCAGGTGCAGGTGTCTGTGTGCACATTTGGAGACCAAGTAAGCTCAGTGTTTAATTGTCTTTGCCTTATTAACTGGAGAAAGGGTCTCTTACTGAAGCTTGAGTTAGGTTGGCAACCAGCAGTTCTCCTGTCTCCACAGCAGGTACAAGAGGCCACACACTACTTTTTGCATGGAAGTTGATATGTGAACTCAGATTCTCATGCTTGCCCTGAAAGTGAGTCATCTCTCCAGCCTGGAAAGTTTTAATCTTACGGGCTCCTTGGTTTTACTGTCCCTGGTTTGGTAATCTGATGGCCAGGTAATCACAGTCATTTGCAGGAAAGCGTTTCACCAGAGGGTCAAAGTGACAACAGGAGGTGTATTATACCTATGACTCACTCTGCCTTTTTACTTTCAGTCTGGTTAGAATCTCACATTTTGTCTTTTACCCCGGCTCCATCATCCGAGGGGCACCATAAAACTCATCAAGTTACCTTCTCTGTTCCTACAGCATGTGGTCCAGGCATAGTGTGTCCCTGGGCAAATCCAAACAGGTTTTTCCTATATCAGATCATACCCTTATCTCAAAAAGAACAGATTCATTTATTCTGGAGCCAAGTATGAACAGTTGCAGCCCAGGAATACAGATTTGCATCACCCCCAAACCCCAAACTCCATGTTGCAACATGGTAAGAGTTTCATTGAGTTTTCATAGTAACAGAACAGAGCTGTGAAATCAAGGCACTTTAAAAATACATTGGCGGGAGCATCAGATACACAGGTTAGAGCTAGACAGGGAGATCTGTTAGAGGCCTCAAATGTTATCTGATAGCATCCTTACTTAGCCTTAGGGCTCGTGGAAGTTCATTTTGAAGGCTTTATCTGATAATTACAGGATGTTAGGTAAGACTCCAAGGTAGGTAAGGAATGGCATGGCTATAAAAGGACCTGATGGGAGATGGAGATAACTTGGCTCCAGGCCTGAAATAACCTAAGGTTTCATATTCACTGAAGTTGCAATCAGCTTATAGCTCCTTGTAGAATCTTTGAGTTTCAAGGCCATCATTGACCCCCAGAGTGTCTAATCACAGGGCTATGACTATCATGAGCATATGTTATCATTCTGTCATAGATATTCTTTCACTCCACATTTTCTCACTTCTCACCCATCCCTACCCTCAAAGAAAAGAACCTAAACATTAGCTCCTACTATTAGTTATTACTTAGCACTACCACACTGAGCTAAGGGCTTTTCATGCTTTAAATCACTCAACCTTTCTTCAATCTAGCACAGTGCAGATTTTTGTGTATATTCATTGTGCATAGATAGTATTCTATTGCAGAAGTATATTTTATTACAAGTATGTAATGTGCATTGAGCATGTATTGTATATCTTCATCACAATTTAAATACTCACCAGATGACGTGAGGCTGTAGACAATTCAGTGTCATGCCCTAAATTAAAAAGAAGTGAATTCCCACTTAAACCTTACATTATTTGGAGTTAATATTTCCTATATCAATCCTACATTTGGAATTAACAGACAATTTTAAATAATCTATAATAAAATAGAATAAATAATAATACTATAATAAAACTATACTGTATTGAACATTTAGCCTGTGCTTTGTTTGATTTGGTTTAGCTTTGATTGTTTGACAGTACTGACTGGCAAGAACTTACCACTGAGCTGTACAGCTTATTCTGCACCACTATTAATATACATATATTTAAAATCACATAATTACTTTGAGTTGCCAAGTGAAGACACTGTGTTTCAAAGTGATTAGATAGCTTGCTTAAGGTAACAGTTGATTTAAACTGAGTTGATTAAATAATAATAAAATGCATGTGAATGACATAATGGAGTCTTAGATTATGTGCAGTATAGGATGGAGAATTTTGTCTTGTGACTTTCGTAGTGTGGTGTTCTAGCCCAAGCTTTGTGTGCACTGTATAGTATGTATGTAGTATACTTGTAGCATAGGTGTATCATGAGTGTAGTAACTGTGTGGTATTTAGGTATTATGCATGTAGCATGTGTGTAGCACACATTTATGGATTTTACCTGTGTGTAGTATGTGTATCATATGGAATGGAGGCTCTGTCTCCTGTGATTTTTGTGGTATGGTATCACATCCTGTGATTTTTATATTTCTTTCTTTCTTTCTTTCTCTATTTATTTATTTATTTATTTATTTATTTATTTATTTATTTATTTGGTTTTTTTGAGACATGGTTTCTCTGTGGCTTTGGAGGCTGTCCTGGAACTAGCTCTTGTAGACCAGGCTGGTCTTGAACTCATAGAGATCCCCCTGCCTCTGACTCTTGAGTGCTGAGATTAAAGGTGTGTGATACCACTGCCCGGTACATCCTGTGATTTTTGTGGTATGACATTTGTATAGGAGTTCACAGTACATTGCTGAGTGTAGGTTATGAATTGGCTAAATTAAATGTCATCACATGGACCCTTGATAGCAGGAGAGAAAGGAAGAAGATGAAATCAGAGATATACAGTCATGGAGGTCAGCTATTCCAGGCTTGAGAGTAGTGCCCAGTCTACTGGCTTGACATGATACTTCAGCTATGAGGAACTGTGGACACACTGCCTACCCAACCCTGCCGAACATTTAATCTATAGACTTAATCAATAGTGAATATTATTTTAACTATTTATATTGATGATAATTCATTATAAAAGAAAACTTAAACCATATTCTGCTAGCTGGCAGTAGGCGTTATAATAAGTTAGTTGTCTGAAAGCAGCTTTTAACTCTAGGAGAACATGAAGAATGGGGGGATTTTAAAGAACTTGTTTAAAAACAAACGCACAAAAACCTTAGATGGTTGTGAACAGATTTGGTGAGTTGAGAAACTCATTCTGCTGAAATAATAGGAGTTCCTGAGAAAAGACTCAAGGTCAGGTAAGTATGGGCAAGAAGAAGACTGTGGGTATGGCCCTGTACCTCTCAATAATCTTCAGCGTGTGGTCCAGATATCACACAATATGTTTCCAGGCCACTATTGGTTCCTGGTGTCCAGTCACAGGGCTGTGACTATCATGAGCACATTTCACCATGCTCTTATTAATATTCTTTCATTGTGCACCTTCTCCACTTCTCACTATGCAAAAGGCTCCTGGGAGGCAGTCTGTGACTCCTAGGTCACTCAGTTAGCTCAGCTGGAGCCAAAATATAAATGTGACTCATCCAGAAAGGATCTGGGCAGGAACCTTGTACCTGTGACATAGCAGCAGAGTGACCTCGGTTTTCAGCAAATAGAAACAAGGCTGGTGAGAAGGAAAGACATGGCCTACAATGAGAGACTGGTAGCCATCTATGTCCTGTGGGCAAGACATGGAGGGTGCACTGAAATACCTTTGCTGGAAGAAGCTGGAGTGGTCAAGGCCCAGTTTCAGAGCAAACGTAACTTGTATTGGTATTTGCACAACTCCTAATATTTTAAGTCCCCATTTCCTCACATTTTTCCCCATGAAGATAATAAGACTCCAGTTGGTTGCACATATACCAAAATTATCAGGAATGACTTGTACTTTGCAGGATATTAACCATCCTTGGGCAAAGTCTATCTGTGTCATTCTTAGGAGGATCTTGGGCTGTATGGTTTGTCAGAGGACACACCTTTAGAGCCCTGGGATGGCTTTCTGGAGGATTGGCAAGGATTCCTCTCTTTCCTTGCAGGCAGAGAACCATGCAGATCAGCTGCCTCTCAAAATAGCTTTCAATTACTTTGAAAAAAGACATTTTTCTTTTGGCATGCAGTTCTAGAAATTCCTGTCTAAGATCTTGGTCCCAGGCTTCTGGCAACAATGAAGGTGGGGTATCTTATCAAGGAAGCCTCCACCTCCAACCTATGTCTTACTAACTAGGAGGAAAAGGAAACTGGAGGGATGTTGGTCCCACTATCCTTCTTGAGAATGAACTCTCTATGTTCTTTACTCTCCCCACCTCCCAGCTCTAAAAGCATCCCTCCAGTCATGTTTGAATTAAACCTATAACAATTGGACTTTGGGGGAACATTTCTCCAAACCATAGATAGCTGCAGCCATGTACACATGCTATGTATTCCTAGTTGGTATTACTCTCAGTGTCCTTTAAAATATGTGTGTGTAAAACAAAACTGTAGAGAAACAGTTTGAGTGGAGATTTTCTTTTGCTCAATTGATCTTATGTATTTTATCCTTGATTATGTATATTGAGCACCTGGTAATACAGCTCTTAAACTGTGGGTTGACAAAAACTTTGTGTTGAATTTTGCTTTTATAGAACCTAGAAGTCTGAAAGAAAAAGCATAAAAACTGTTTTTTAAAATAATTTAGGGATGATTATATGCTAATCCTTATGGTTCAGGCTTTAATAGTACATAACACAGTAATGATGATCTTGCAATTAATGCAATAAATGGAACGCCACTGAAGCATATAGGCAGTTCAAAGCAAAAGAGTTGCAACAGACAAGCTGTAATATGTTGGCCTTGGAATGAGCAGGCAGAGGAGACAAGGACAAATGAATAACCATTTGATGAATGGAGGGGAAAATGCCAGGAATTAGGTTTTCTGATTATGGAAGCATAGACTTTTCAAGAGAAAGCTTTGTTGGATTACATTCTGTTACTTGTGTGTAAGACAATGAGAGGGACATGAAGATTCTCAAACAAAGGCCTGACCTATTGCCTGTGATGTTTAAGAGAGTTCCTTCATTGGGCAACGTGGATCTGAGGACAACCTAAACTGTGAGGCCAGGAATGAACTCTGTAGGGGAAACACTCAATAATAGCAGTAGGCTCTTTATCTGATTATAGAAAACAAAGATATATTAATTTATGTAATTCCTTAATATAAATCTAAATGAGCTCACTGTGACCTTATTGTTGTAGAGGAATCCCAGGCAGGAAATGTGGCACAATCATACTAACAGCCGAGGAGCTGAACTGCTGCAGGGTAAGTAAATATTTTCTTGTTTAAAATTGCTTTTATTTAAAACTACTTTACCAGTTTTTGAGAATTCCATACAACATATTTTGATCATATTCATGGGCTTCCCCAATTCTTCCTGAACCCCATCCCCTTCTTTACATACCCAATTCTATGTCCACTTTAAAATTAAAAAGCAGAAACACAATCAAAAAGTATCCAGTCCAGTTTTGCTGCCCTTATACTTTCAGTTATGTGGCCATCCACTGGAGGGTGGTGGACACACCTGCTGTCACACCATAAGAAAAAAAAATGAATGTCCCTGTCCCAGCAGCTATCAATTACACTAGCTCCCCTGCCAGGGGTGATACTTTGCGCCAATTTCCCATGTCTAAGCAGGGATTTGGGGGTGCTTGAGCTTGAATAAGTCTTGTGCATGCTGTGAGTACAGAGGTGAAACTGAGCTGTTGTGTATAGAAAACGGTTTCCTTGTGGTCTTCAACCACCTTTAGCTCTTATAATTTTTTGTCCTATCTTCCACAGTGATCACTGAGCCTGGGGGAGGAGCGGGTATGAAATAAATGTTCCGCTGATGGCTGAGAACTCTATAATCTCTCATTCTCTGCACTTTGAACAGTTGTAGTCTCTGTATTAGTCCCCATATCCTTCAGAAAGGAGCTTCTCTTAAGATTTGAGAGATAAAGTAATCTATGATTATGATAATGCGTTGTTAGAAGTTAAATACAATGAGCACATAGCAGAATCATCGAGGTACTGTCTCCCCCAGGGCCTATACCTGTTTAACCATGGGTTTGGGACCCCAATTACAATACCAGGAATGGGTTTCTTCTTGTGGAGTAGGTCTTGAATCCAGCCATAGAGTGGTTGGTTTCTCCCATGATATTCTTGCCACTATTGCACTGGTAGACATGTCTTAATAGACTGGTCATTACTGTAGCTTTAGAGTTCACAGGTAGGTAAGGCTGATGATTGCATTCATAGCACCTTCCGTCACTATGAAAGCTATTCAATGGGGATGAAGCCTCCAGGAGAGCACCTGCTTCATTACTCTATGTATAACTCAAGTGGGTGGTATTTTCTGGGGAGTAGTCAGAAGCACCAAAAATAGCTGATAATGTATGTAGGTCTATGGGATCTCACTAAATAACTACTCCAAAAGAGGCAACCCTTCTCTCTTTTTCATATTTATTTATTTGTTATTGTTGCTGGGCTTTTTATTTGTTACTCTGTTGTGTATAGTGTGATAATTTCATCTGAAGTCTTTTTATGCATGTGTAAATGTATATTTTAGGAAAGTTAAAGTAGAACTGTTATGAAAGATTTTTAGTGTCAATTGTCTCTTCCCATATTTTCTCCTCTACCTCCATCCCATTTAATTCTTCCTGTTCCATTATTCCCTGATACCCTTTATACAACACATTCTATCTCTCATCCATTGAAAGCTCCTCCTCATGGCCTCTTAGTAATTCCCTGACCTAGATGGGTATTCCAAAGGTAACAGACATATCTGAAGAGTCAATGTTAACATGATCAGATGAGAGAAAGACATGACATTTGTCTTCCTGGGCTTCTGTTACCTTACTCACAATGACAATTTCCAGTTCCATTCATTTGCCTGCAGATTTAATATTTTCATTTTCCCTAGCAACTGAATAGTAAGTATACTGCATTCTCATTATCCATTCAATAGTTGATGGTCATTTTGGGTGTTTCCATTTCTTGATTGTTGTAAATAGAGTCTATGGGGCCCCTGGTAATGGAACAGCATTTATACTTAGTATATGAATGGACATTGGGAACCCATTCCCCAATACTTTTTCTTAGCCTAGGCCCTGCCCCAAATGATGTGACAGACTTTGATGATCCCCATAGAAGGCCTTACCCTTTCTATGGAGCAGAAGGGGAATGGGATGGGGGTGGGTGAAGAGCATGGGTGAATGGGAGGGAGAGGGAACTGGGATTGATATATAAAATAAGATTCTAATTTAAATAAAAAAAATGAATAAAAAGAAAATACCATGACCCCAGTCTCTTTAAAAAAACACACAAAAAAAAGAAACCCAAACACACACATACCCAAATGCACAAAAACACAAAATTGGAAACCAAAAACCGAATGTACAAGTAATGACCAAAGGGACAAAAAATGCCCAAAACAAAGAAATAGAGACAAAAAGTCTACAAAAACACCATTGGGTTCATTTTGTGTTAGCAATCTACTGCTGAGCATGAGACCTGGCTTTATGTATAGTTAATATACCCAGTAGAGACAATGTTGGAGAAGGCTATTTTTTCCTTTATAAGAGGGTAGTAATTGTACATTGCCCAGTTGTGGGTCTCTGTGTTAGTTCTCATCTGCTGCAGAGGGGGAATGTCTGATTATAGCTGAGCAAGAAAGTGATCTATGGGTACAGCAGAGTATCACTGAGAGACAGTTTGTTCCCATGTTCCTTTAATAGAATGGTGGTATTTGTTTCCCCACTAGAGTCATGGCCTAATCTGTCTCAGGTTCTTGTGTACCCTAGCAGTGTCAGGGGTTGGTTCTATATGAATGGGCCTTAAATCCAAGCAGAGAGTAGTTGGTTGCTCCCACAGCACTTGTGCCACTATTAGCCCCAGCATATCTCACAGGCAGGTCAGCATTGTACAGCACAGGGTTTGTAGCTGGGTTAATGGTTACCTTTCTTATTTGCTAGCTTTCAGAGTATATTCCAGTACCATGAAGGGTAGACAGTAGAAGTGAAGCCACTTGTTAGACACCAGCTCAATTTCTCCATGTACAAATGTTATTTTTGGTAGTAGGACTTTATCAGTTTCTGGAGAGCAACCAATAACCTTGGCAGTAGTCTGTGATGTTTGGGAATTTCCATGGAGCCCCTTTAGCCAACAATTCAATGAGATGTAATCCATTTCTGGCAGTAGAAGTTTTATTTGGTGGCATAAGATGCTGAGTTTAGACATTATCTCTCCTACAATTTGATGATTCCATTTACACTTTTCATATACATACATATGCCAGGATGCTTCTTCAGTAGCAGATTGCCACATGGCTCCTCAAGAAGGCTTTACTGTTAGTTGTTTCTCCCATATTCTCTTCTTCATTATTCCTCTCTCAGATCCACTTGTAAATCTTCCTGCTTCATTTTCTTGCCTGTCTCTTCTATTTGAGATCTCCTCCCTCCTAGACCCCGAATATGTACCTTACCTCATGGTTATATAGATTGTAGCACACATATTGAAGGCTTAAAGCTAACATCTACACATGAGAGAAAACACAATCATTTTCTTCGGAGCCTATTACTTCACTCAGGATGACATTTTCTGGTTTCATTCATTTACCTTCAAATTTCATAATTTTATTTTTAATAGATGAATAACATTCTATTGTATAAATGCAACATATATTCATTATCCAAGTATCAGCTGATGGCCATCTAGACTGTTTCCAATTTCTGGCTATTATGAATAGAGCAACAATGGACATTTGTGAGCAAGTGTCTCTATAGTAGGATATAAAATCTTTTGTGCATTTGTCCAATGATAGTATAGCTGTATCTTGAGGTAGATCTTTTCCAAGCTTCTTGAGTAACTGCCACGATGATTTCCACAGTGGCTATACAAGTTTGCATCCCCAGTGGCAATGAATACGTGCCCCCCTCTCCTCACATTCTTGCCAGCATGAGCTGCCATTTGTTTGCTTTATCTTGGCCATTCTGAAAAAGATCAAATGAAATCTCAAAGTAGTTTTATCTTGTGTTTCCATGAAGACTAAGAAATGTTGAACATTTATTAATTGTTGCTCAGCCATCTATGCTTCATCTTTTGAGAACTCTCTGCTTAGCTCTGTTTCCCATATTTTACCTTGGTTATTTGTTTTCTTGACATTCAGTCTCTATCAGATATAAAATTTGTAAAGATTTTTTCCCATTTTCTAGCCTGTTACTTTGCCTGAATGATAGTGTTCCCTGCCATAGAGGGTTTTTGGTTTCATGAAGTCCTATTTATAAACTGTTAGTCTTAGTGCCTTTGCTGTCATTGTCATGTTTAGAAAATCTTCCTTGCAAATGAGTTCACAGCTACTTCCCATGTTCTCTTCCACCAGATTCAGTGTATCTGGTCATAAGTTGAGATCTTTGATCATTTGGAGTTGAATTTTGTGCAGGGTGATGAATATGGATCTACTGGCTTTCTTCTAGATTCAGTCATTCAGTTTCACCAGCACCATTTGTTATTGATGGTCCTTTTTATCCATTGTTATTTATGGCTTCTTTATAAAAAAGTAAGTTGTTCAGAGGTTTGTGGATTCATGTCTGGGTCTTAGTTCATTTCCATTGATCAATATGTCTGTTTTATGCCAACAGCATGTTGCTTTTTTATTACTGTAGCTCTGTAGTAAACTTGAAATTGGGGATGGTGATAGCTCCAAGAGTTCTTTTATTATTCATAATTGTGTTAGCTGTCCTGGGATGTATATTTATCTGATGTATGTGTTTCCATATGAAGCTGAAAGTCACCCATTCAATTTCTGTGAAGAATTGTTTTGGAATTTTGATGGAGATTGCATTGAATGTCTATTTGCTTTTGCTAGGATGGCCATTTTCACACTATATCAGTCCTACTGATCCTTGAGCATGGGTATATTTCCATGTTCTGATGACTCCTTCAATTTTTTAAAAGATGCTGTGTTTTCAATTCTAAAATGCTTTAAGTTTCCTACTTGATTTTTGCTTTGATTTATTCTTCTTTTAGTAGTGAGTTATTCAGTTTTCCTGAATTAATAAGTTTTTTGTTGTTTCTGTTTTTGATGATATCCACATATAATGTATGATAGTCAGATAGGATGCAGGGCATTTTTTCCGTTTTCTCGTTTCTCTTGAGATTTGCTGTATTTTCCAGTATGTGGTCAATTATGGAGAAAGTTCATAAGATACTAAGAAGATGGTATATTCTTTTGTATTTTGGTGAAATGTTCTATAAATATCTTCTAAGCCCATTTTATTTATGAC